TATATATATATATATATATATATATACACGCATAAATATACATAATATATAAATAAATAATAAAATATATTTTTGTTTTTTTTTGTTTTTATTTATTTGCCAAGAAAGTTCAAAAAAAGAGGCAAATCAATACCTGCTGCTGCTGCTGCTGCTGCTGCAGCTGCTGCAGCTGCTGCAGCAACAGCAGCAGCAAATATATGATTATTTGACTAAATATAACTAATAAATAATAATTATAATTATTTATTATTTATTATTTATTTATTATTTATTTATTTATTTATATAAATAATAAATAAATATTTATTATTACTGCATGCATTGTTTGCTTATTGCTGCCAAGATACCTGCTTTCCTCTCTGCATGCACAGCTGCTGCTGCTGCTGATGCATGCAGCAGCAGCAGCAGCAGCAGCAATTAATTGTGTTATTTAGCGTTTGCTGTCTGCAGTGTATGCACTGATGTTGCTGCTGCTGCTGCTAGTGCTGTTGGTGCATGCAGCAGCAGCAGCTGCAGCATTATGTTGTGCATGCACAACTACATTTCCTCCAGCTGCTGCTGCTGCTGCTGCTGCTGCTGCTCCTCCTCCTCCTCCTCCTCCTCCTCCTCCTGCTGTCCCTGCTGCTGCTGCTGCTGCTGCATGCAGCACTTTTTCTACTCTTTTATCATGAATTATTTTATGTATATTAGGTCTGCTTACCTCCGCGCGTAAATCAAAAGGATAACGAGCAAATAATATATCCACCTGCATGCAGCAGCAGCAGCAGCAGCAGCAGCAGCAGAAGCAGCAGCAGCATAAAAACTCTCTCGTTATTCATAGCCAACAGCACATAATAAGGGTTTAAGGGTTTAGGGTTTAGGGTTTAGGGTTTACGTCTTCGTCATTTGTTGCGCTTTGTTTGGGTATAACTTTGCTGTTATGGCATCGTTGCTGTTGCTGCTGCTGCTGCTGTTGCTGCTGTTGTTGCTGCTGCTGTTTCTGTTGCTGCTCTGCTGCAGCAGCAGCAGCTGCTGCTGCTGCAGCTGCTGCCTGTCTACCTCCCCTTGCTGCTGCACGGAGTGTCGCTAAGCATCCCGCATGTGTTTGCTGCTGCTGTTTATGCTGTTGCTGCTGCTGTTGCTGCTGTTGCTGCTGCTGCTGCTGCTGCTGCTTCTGTTTTTGTATATTTTTCTTATCTTTTTGTTTACTCATAGTTTCTTTTAATTGAGTATTGCTGCAATTGCTGCTACGATTGCTGCTGCTGTTGTTGTTGTTGCTGCTGCTGCATTCCCCCTCTTTCTGCTGTTGCTGAATCTGTTGTTCCCCCCCTCCCCCCCCTTGCTGCTGCCCTTGCTGCTGCACTTGCTGCCCTTGCTGCTGTTGCTGTTGCTGCTGCTGCTGTTGCTGCTGCAGCAATAATTCCCCATCCTTACCAAATAAAGATGGATAATGTTTAGCTGCATATTGTTGTGTATCTGCAGCAAGAGGCTGAGGATCATCAAACAAAGAAGAAAAATTTAAATCACGAAAAAAAGGATGACTTAATATTTCTGATCCTTTCTTATAACGAACAGAAGAGTCGCATACTAACCTATAAAAAAAAAAAAAAAATATATATATAAACCCTAAACCCTAAACCCTAAACCCTAAACCCTAAACCCTAAACCCTAGAAAAATCGAAAATCTGAAAAAAAAAAATTTGAAGAAAATTAGAAAACACTAAAAGGAAAAAAAAATAAAAAAAATTATATATTGACAAAAAATTTATAATAAACCCTAAACCCTAATTAAACCCTAAACCCTTATTCAAACCCTAAACCCCTATTCAAACCCTAAACCCTCATTCAAACCCTAAACCCTGATTATTATATATAATAGAATTGGTCATACTTTTGCATAAGAGAAATTGCTTCAGGAGAAAGGATTGCAGATATTGGTGAAGGATAAGGAATTCTGCATGACAAACCCTAAACCCTAAACCCTAATAAACCCTAATAAACCCTAGTAAACCCTAGTAAACCCTAATAGACCCTAAACCCATCATCAGAACCCCAAACCCCAGCAAAAGACCCATCAATAGAATCAAGAGAATCAGCAGCATATACTGCAGCAGGAAGAAGAGCAACAGGAGGAGGAAGAGCAGCAGGAAAAAGAGGAATACAACTTACGGGCATACAAGATGATAATTAGCTACTTGTAATTTAACAAATTGGGGTACATCTCCTCTATACTTAGGCGGAGGACAAAAAGGAATTCCTCCGTATAACATTTCAAATAACACGACACCAACAGACCACCAGTCCACCGAATAGTCGTACCCACCGCCCCTGAATAAGTAGAAAAAAACCCTAAACCCTAAACCCTAAACCCTAAACCCTAGTTAACCCTAAACCCTAGAAATAAAGGATGGGATAAAATATATAACATTTCAAATAAGACGACACAGACAGACTACCAGTTGACGGAATAGTCGTACCCGCAACCGCTGAATAAGTAGAAAAAAACCCTAAACCCTAAACCCTAAACCCTAGTAAACTCTAGTAAACCCTTAGAAACCCTAAACCCTAAAGAAAGGATTATTATCAGGAGGTCAGCGACACCACAAAATGTATCGAACAGCTGCTTACACGACACAAACCCTAAAAAACCCTAAACCCTGATCCACAAACCCTAAACCCTAAACCCTAAATCCTAAACCCTTACAGTAGTACTTCAGGTGCTGTATACATTGGGGTACCGCAGACAGAACGTAAAAGAGAACTTGATGGTCTCTGCAGGCTGTGGGGTTCGGTAGGGGCAGCTAGGCTACCAGCTGTACACATCAAAACCCTAAACCCTAATAAACCCTTATAAACCCTAAACCCTAATAACAACCCTAATAAACCCTAAACCCTAGACCTTCTGTTGGGGTGGATGGCTGCTGTAGCTAGTTGTAACCATTATGAAATCCTTAAGCCGCTACGTGAGAAGGGTTTCGGGTTAATCAGGGTTTAGGGTTTAGGGTTTAGGGTTTAGGGTTTACAGTTGTGTTGCTGGTGTTTCTCTGAGTGATGCAGAGATGCGTCAGTACTCAAAGTTGTC